TCTAGGGTTCTTATCCTGGGCAGGAGCGGCACTGGATTTTCTTCCCGTGCTCGGCTGAGCCGTCGCAGCATTCTTGGGCGTCTCATGATTGAAAAGACAGCCTTTCCCTGCGTGCGGGCAAATTTCGCCCTGACGCACGTATCTGCACGTGGTCTCGCCCTTAGTCATTCCGCTTTTCATGGCGTCTGTGGGTTTCCCCAATTTAGCGGCAATCTCTGCCGGAGCGGCTTTGCCGCCGGCATTCTTCCGGTTGTCGTTGCCTCCGCCTCCGCCGAATCGCGCTTGCCTAGCACGCTGATTCAAGGTAACCTCATGCACGCTGATGTTCCATTCTTCTTTTTCTCGCAACATCTGTTCTTCAATTTGCCCCATCAGCCATTCATAACTCTTCGCGCCATGTCCCATTTTATCATTTGACATGTCGTATAACTGGCATACACAATTCAGTTTGCTCGGCTTTCTGCACGGTTCAAGAAAGTGCGCATGAATCGAGGCCCTCATTTCATCGGACGGAGGCTTAGCGCCGTAAAGCTGTTGATATACATATGTCCATTCATGGTGGACATGATGCAGGTCAGCATCCGGCTTGCGTGGGTCAATGATTACATTGAAGATGTCACGCGAAATGCGATGTTGCCCCAACTCCGATCTCACCGAACACCAATGGCAAATGGCTCGCTCGCACCATCTCGCGTCCAGCCATGAGCCTTCCCTCGTTCTGGGCGCTGTATTCCATACGAGTGATCTGTTGGAGGAAATGAGTATGATGACCAGGCTGATGGGGACTCTTTCGCATCTTGTTGAATTTCTCGATGAGGTTCGTTGCAATCATAAGATCGAGACGCTAGAATCACCCTGCATCTTTCAGCTGCTCATCCTCCACAGCTGGGTTCATAGCCTCCGTAATCCAATGCTGTGCCGCCTGGCTCTCGGGCGATGACCCAGCGATCGCACGTGCTGCGTGCATTTGCCACTCCCGAATGTTCGTTACATCAGGGGTGTCCAATAAATCAATGTTCTGGTTGTTACCATCCTGTCTCCATTGATCCAACGGCGTGCGTTCGTCCATTACTACTAGGGCATGCGGTCCGCCAGGGCACTGAGGCCCCCTGCGGCCACCTCCACCGCCAGAGGGATCTGAACCCCCTGGGCTTCCCGGAGGCGACCCACGTGGTATTTTACCATGATCATCTTGAGGTGAAGATACGATCTCGGTGTTAGGAGCGTCGCTCTTGTCGCCCCCTTCTCCGCCCTGCCCTGCCTCGTCCGACGACTTAGTCGCCGTCATTCCCGTGGGGCCATCTATAGGATGGGCGGTAGCTGGCGAGAGTGTTACCTTCGTTAGGCCCAGTTAGCTCGATCCCAACAAGAAGTCCACTCTCGGTGGCGCTCGGCTTAGCCGGACCTTCTAGGGCAGGGCCTGGAACAGTAAAGTGCTGGCGCAACAACGGCCTCACGGTAGTTTCTTGCGGCAACAACGGAAATCCGAATGAACTTGACGTGAGTCCGGCTTCTCGTTTATTCTCAGTATATGGAGTCGGGTCGGTGATGATAGCCGTAAACCTCATCGTTCCATTCTCTGCGTTAGCTGCGTTCGAAACGGCCTCTTCTTCTCGCGCGTTGGCAACCGACCTTTCACTCTTCCACAAGTCACATTTAGAACATATCCTAGTGCTTGCACTGATATGCTCTTCACATGCCGACCTACCGCATCCGACGCAATTGTCCGTCTTCGGACGAAAGCAGACTGCGCAGAATTGGGCCACGGAGAATGTATTTCCCCTCTCCTCGGTAGGAGGACGCGTCACATTTCTCACCAGCAGGGTTGACGCTCCCGCATTCGCTAAGGTCGTCTGATCAAACTGCGTTGGAACGGGCACGGTGCCGGACGACTGAGCCGTCGACAATTGATGTACGTTCGTTCCAGTCGGCCTAGCCGGCGGGCGTTTACCATTGCTCGATTTTATGCGCTGGAAGGAAGATCTGGCTTCTTCATGCGATTTGAGTTCTTCCAGATAAAGATTGTTCTGATCGGTTATCTTCGCAGCTACAACTTGGGTGTTAACTGCTTCCAGCCTGGCTTTTTTGAGCTCTTCTTGTAAGCTCTGCTTTTCTCGTTCCGCCATAACTGTAGCGATTTGTTATCCTTCTATTCTGGCCACCGCAGCGGCAGCGGCGACCGCGTTGGCGTCGACAGATTCATTGGTTGCCATCGCGACGACCTGTCTCTCACAAACAAATAATTCTCTGCATGTGTGTTCGGCTTCCATTTCCACCTGCCGCTTAACGGCCGCGGTCGCAATTGTTCTGTCAGCGCTTGTTCCCGCTCTCCAGCAGCCATGGCTAGGGCGATCCGTTCAGCCTCGAATGTTTTCCGAACTTCAGCCATGGTTTCAGTTAACTCTTCTCTGCCCAGTCAGGCCCTTCCAGCCAGCAGCGCTTCATTGGTCAGAAACTCTCTCTGAGTGCTCGCCTCCGCTAGCCTGGCCTGGTCCTGAATAGATTGCATGAGGAGATATGTGCAGTTATGTTCGTCCATTGGGCAACGCTCTGCACGCAGCCACTGCATGTTACGCTTATGGCATGCGTCCGAGCAACTCTTGCACACTGGATTCCTACATGCGCCTTCTGGCCTGTTGGCTTTTCCTGGGCATCTGCTCTCCGCCTGCGGCGCGCAGTTAGGGTCAGGGTTCCAACAGGCCTCCGCCATGGAGACAGTACTGTTGCTCCTTGAAGTAGATATCGCCCCTGATCTTGGCATCTTGGGCCATCCCCTGCTCGAAGCATTTGATCTGGGGCGAACGAAAATATTTTCTGGTGGTTTAGGCGCTTTTAAAAGCTCATCATTCTTTTCGTATTGTTTTATACGTAGCTGGTTGTCCAACCATTTATCCATCCTCAACAACAGCTGGAATCGAGGGTTGCCAGTCACCTGAGGTGGCGGCATTGCGGAAGAAACCTTCTTTCAGTGGTGAGACGTTTAGTTCGTAGTCCTCGTTCCTTTGTTTCTGAAGATGAGGTGCAGGGGTTCGTCCTGTGGACTCCCTCTCATGCTTCGTCTGAGCCTCCGTCCTGTCCGCCTGAGGCGTCAGGATACTCGGATCCATCTAGATACTATCCTTCGTCTTGAGCAGGGATGTCTTCTTCCATCATCACGGACAACGCTCGGCTCAGGGAAATGTCGTTATTGATGTTATCAAAATCCTCCTCCATGGAATTTATGTCATGGTCTTTTTCGATGGGGTCATCACTGCCCTGACCAAATTGTCCGTTAAGTGCTATTGGAACGGGAACGGTCGCACTCGCACCCGCCCATTCAGTTGGGATGCTGGGGTACGTATTCACGTGCTCTTGGGCTTCCCCTGGCCGGCCGGCTTCACCAGCGGCTGTAGCGATAGCATGTGCAGCGTTCGGAATTGGGCTGATTGACTCCGTCGATTTGGCACTCCATGACGAAAACGCGCTTCGTCGAGTTCTCGCTGTCACGCCATCTCGCCCGTACGGGTCTGGGGTCTGCTCGCGATCACCAATCAGAACTCCCGCAGGAAAGACGTCTACCGACATCTCTGATACTCCCTCGGTACTTCTGCCCCTAGTTACCCGAGTGGCGATATATGAAGGAGGGGCGCGGTCCTGAATTGGACCGCCCTTATTTGTGTCGTGTCCATCAGGTTGTACAACGCGCCCGTCGGCGCTTCTCGAGATATTGGACACGATGTCCGTCTTATCATAGCTCATTCCCGCAGCGACTGAGTCGCGGGGCACATTTGAAAGTTCTTCTTTTGGATATGATGGCCCCGCGTCGACTAAGTCGCGCGCTTCGGCTGGTAACCAGTCTTTCCTCTGAGAATCGGGGTAAGATGACAAAGGAATTAAGATCTCATGTTCACTCTGCTCAGGGAGAGAGGGGACGGGATGAGACATTGATAAGACAAGTATCAGTTAAGCAATATTACTCTATCAAGAATGTGTAGGGAGGAGGCCGGCTGGCCTACGACCGACGACGCGCGACGGCCGAGGGTTGGCGCGCTCCTTTTCTCTCCTGCAAGCCAAGGCTGGCTTGTTCGAGCATCCATACAGCTGCGGAACGCAGCTGTTAGTTCCAGCGGACAGTGCAACGCATGCAAACTAAGCTATGTTCTGATGTAATATGAGGCGGAGAGGAGCATATTTACTCTCTTACAGGACGATCGATCATTAGACCCCACTTCCTTGGACCCCATCCAGGAAGCTTAAAAACAACTGGGCAGCACGAGGACACATCCGGCCAGGGTAGGTTTAGGTTGGGCATGTCCTCGTGCACGTGGACAAATCTATATGTATAAAATATAAAAACCTCCCCAAACTGTTTTGACGATTTCTGCATCTTCTTCCCGTAGCGGGACAGGCCCGACGTAAGGGTCGGTCGGGACTCTGAGCGCTGGCGGGCCTGGAGGACGTGTCGGGCGCCGCGCCGCTCCAGGGCGCACCACGCTCTGGATTTGAGAAGCGAGAGCGGCATGCAACAGGAGCTCGACCACAAGGAACCTTCCACGAGAAGCCTGGCCCTGAGACCCCAGGATGTCTCCAGCGTAGAGCCATCGGAACCCAAAAGAAACCCAGGGCACCCTGGAGGCAAGCAGGGCGTTTCCTGGCACGGGCTTCCTCTGTACAGGCACAAACTCTCGGAACTCCGCGCGGAAATCCTGCATCGGCGCCAGGGGCGGCGCCAGAGTCGCTGCCAGAGGGTCCCAGGCGCCGATCCAAGAAGTCCGCGCGGACCGCCAAAAGTCTGTGTTCCTGACGAGGCTGCGTTGCGAAAAGGCCCGCCACGCGCGAATGCGCACTCTCGCGGTCTGGATTTCGGGGCGCGATCCTGCGAATACGCGATCGCACGGGTACGCTCCGAGCGGGGCATCCGCGGAAAAGCACTCCGCATCCGCGGGGTCGCGGCCCAGGGGCTCAGCCCGCGAGGCCGCGGAGGCGGATATTTCCCGTCGCCCGGGGCAAGAGCCGGGCGCCTGCCAGCTGCAGGCGCTCCGCGAGCTGGACCGGGCGCAGGCTGGTGCCCTCGGCCGTGAGGGTGGTGGTGCCCAGGCGGACACTCCACGCGCTGCTCCCGCCCACCAGCCAGCGCCTCAGCTCACGGTCGACCTCGAGATTGTGCTTCCCAACCATCCTGTGGTGTTGGGTCCTCGGTTTGAAAACGCATCGTCCCGCGCCCCTCCTTCGTCCTCCCCCTCCTCCCTCCTCCTCCTCCTAATGCTCCTCCTGCTGCTGCTCTGAACGTGTTCATTTCGACACACCCCTCCCAACGGTCCGTGGCCCCATAGGGAGATCCACCGAAGGCCCTGGTGGCAGGAATCGCATGGCGACCGCTGCTTCGTTCCGGCACAAGGCCATTGAGGCAGAAGTCGCACGACGGCCGCCCGCTTGTTTCGGCACACCCCTCACACGATCCGTAGCCTCGTAAGGAGCTCCCCCCTCCTTCGTCCAACCTGCCTTGCGGTACTCACCCTTGCATATGGTAAGTTCCTTCGCCAAAATAATATGATGAAGTACGTGTACGGTCGCTACCTGGGGAGGGGGGGGGTTGGGCCCCGGATAACGGCAACGCTTGGGCGGGGTGGGACACGTCGGGGCGGGAATGCGCTGCGATCGCCAGGCGCACGTCTTGGGCCCCCCCCAAAACTTACGATCGTAAAGGTTACTCGGGGGCGGAGGTCTGGTCCGGGTCACGACCGTTACGCGCCAGAGGATAATTGGCCTGGCGAAAGACCCGACCATATACAGTTGTGAGTACGGCGTTGTTGGTACCGACCGCTTTCGATGGAGCACTTGCGCTACCACTGGAGACTTTGGTGGAGCTCCCGATGGGGCCACGAAACGTGTGAGGGGTGTGCCGAAACGGGCGCGGTGGTGCCATGCGGGCGCTGCAACTTGGGCATTCGGTTGAGCTCCCGATGGGGCTTGTGAGGTGTGTGCCGAAAAAGATGCGATGGTGCCATGCGGGCGCTGCCACTGGGGCCGCCGAAACGTGTGAGAGGTGTATCGAAACGGGTGCGGTGGTACCATACGGGCGCTGCCACGGGGGCCTTCGGTGGAGCTCCCGATGGGGCCACGAAACGTGTGGGGAGTGTACCAAAACGGGTGCGGTGGTGCCATGCGGGCGCTGTCACTGAACCCTCAGGTGGAGCTCCCTATGCGGCCACGAAACGTGTAAAGGGTGTGCCGCAACGGGTACGGTGGTGCCATACGGGAGCTGCCACTGGGACCTTATGTTGGGCTCGGCTCCCTTTGGGGCCACGAAACGTGTGAGGGGTGTACCGAATCGGCCGCGGTGGTGCCATGCGGGCGCCACCGCTGGGGCTTTCGGTGACGCTCCCTACGGGGCCACGAAACTTGTGATGCGTGTGCCGAAACAGAGACATGCGGAGGGCACAGGCGATGTGGCAGGAGGGAAAAGAAGGGGAGGGGGGAGGTGGGGAGGAGCACGAGAGGCGAGGACGCGGGGCGCTGTCTCTTCAAAAAGAAGACCCAACACCATAAGATGGGTGGGTGCGACAAGCTGAGGGCACCTTGGGCCAGGACCACTTCTGGCACAATCCGACGCACGACAGGTCAACATCGACTCGGGAAATCGAGTCGAGTCAGAACGTGCGCCAAACCGGACTGCATCGGCACGGAGTCCGAACTCGGATGGGATCGGGCACAACGGCGCCCGTGCAGGTACCAAGCCGCATCAATAATACGAAGCCACGTCTGGAGCAAAATCGGACCGGGACAACTCGGGGACCTGTAAAATCTGGCTGCTCTGGAGGATTGCTCCAGAACGCTCTGGAACGATTGATCCCGAACCGAACCCTTCCCGAATCGGACCGTCGGAATTCGGGGGTCCCCAAGCAGTGCGGTCACAAACCGAGCGGTGACCTCGACTCCCCAAAGACCGAACAGTACGTCCTGGCACGGTTTTGGCACCCTGGAGGCCCCACTTGTCCGAGACATCCTCGGTGAACGGCCCGAGTCCCAAAGTCGCGCGGTTACCCCGATTCCCCACTGACTCACCATGCGATGTGGACACCACACCGTTTGGGGCAGAACCCCCACCAGGAACTAACGAAAACGTCCGAAAACCCCGGACGTCAACACACGGTGTCGTCACCACACTGGTTGGGGGCCCCCGAGGTATTCCGAAGTCAAATCGGGCCAGCCAGAGCCGATGTCGAGTCGGACCGCTCGGATAAGGGTGGGCCACTGCTCGGGCTGGTCCTGGAACGCGACGACGGCAGGCCGTGACTGGTGCCCATCATGAAAGCGATCGTGATGTTCAGCATGGTTGTCATGGTCATCATGGCCATGACGATCATCACGATACGCAGGGTCATCATGATCGTCGTCATCATTATCATCATCAGCAGCATCCTCATCATCACCATCACCACCATGAGCAATCATCATCAGTATCATCAGCACAGGCACATCACTATCATAATCACCACCATCATCACCACCATAATCATCAGCATCAGCACCAGCAGCACCAGCAGTATCATAATCGAAATCTTCATTATCACCATCATAATTATCATGATCATCGACGTCATCAGCAGCAACACACCGTCGCTAACGCCGCTATCATAATCATCACCGTCATTAGCATGCTCATCATCAGTATCATCAGCATCAGCCTCATCATCAACATACTCAGCATCGCCATCATCAGCACCAGTGCCTGTATCATCATCAGCAGCATCATTATCGTTATCAGCATCATCATCATCAGCAGCATCATCATCACCAGTTGTATCAGCAACACCAACACATCACTATCATAATCACCACCATCATCACCACCGTAATAATCAAAATCAGCATCAGCAGCATCAGCAGCATCATCATCATAATCAGCATCATCATATATCAGCCAGCGTTGACCCCGAATATATTAGACGACTCAAATCAAGGAATTAGAGGAATCAAGCATGCTTGTAATCCGCAACTCAGCAAGCAAGCAAGCGTGCAAGCAAGCGCGCAAGCGCGCAAGCGTGCAAGCAAGCAATCAAGCAAGCAGGCATAGGCCTAGGCGTAGGCATATGAGTCAGGGGGGCGGGGCATAGGCATAGGCATAGGCACAGGCATAGCCATAGGAATTAGGGGGGGGTCATAGGAATTAGGGGGGGAACGGACCAATTAGTAGGGTTTGAGCTAGGACTCCTATAATGCAAGCCTATTTGGAGAATCACGATCATCATCATCATCATCATCATCATCATCATCATCATCATCATCATCATCATCATCATCATCATCATCATCATCATCATCATTATCAGTATCATCGCCATCAACAACAACACCCTCCCTAACATAATCATCACCGTCATCAGTATATTCATCATCAGCATCAACATCATAAACATCATCATGATATGCATGGTGATCCTGAGCATGACGATGAGCATGACCGACGTTAGCAGCATCACCATCTTCATCATAACACTGATCAGCACCAATGCACATCGTTATCATCATCGTCATCATCATCAGCATCATCATCATGGTCAGCATCACCATCATCATCAGCACCATCATCGTCATACTCGTCATGATGCTGATCATCGTCATCAGCATCGCCATCATCGCCTTCCTGATCCTGACTAGCATCATCAGCATCAGCATCAACATCATCATCAGCAGCATCATCATCAGCATCATCATCATGGTCATCGTCTGCATCGTCACCATCCTCGTCATCATATTCGACATCACTACCGGCATCGTGATCACCTGCCTCGTTACACCGTCTCCTCCTGATCATCGACATCGGCATCGTCATCATCACTAGCATCATCGTCATTCTCTTCATCATCAGCATCACCATGATAGTCATAACCATCACACTCATCAACATCATCGCCAAGATCGAAAGCAGCATCATCGGCATCAGCGTCAGCATCCGCATCCGCATCACCATCATCATCAACAGCATCATCAATGTCGTCGTCGTCGTATTCGTCACTGGCATCATCGCTATCGCCATCGCCATCAAGACCATCACAACCACCAACCTCATCACATTCCTCATCATCATGTTCATCATCATCGTGTTCAGCATCATTAGCGTCATGATCATCAGCATCGCCATCAGCATGTGTATCATCATTGTCATCACAATTAGTAGCATCTTCATCGTCATCATCGTTAGCATCACCAACAACATAATCACCATCCCCATCATCCGCATCACCGTCATCAGCATCGTCATCATCAGCATCATTAGCATTATCATCATTGTCAGCATCAACATCAACATAATCAGCATCACCATCCTCCCCATCGCCGTCATCAACATCATCCAGCATCATCATCATAAGCACCATCAACAACAGCAGCATCACAATCATCACCGTCAGCATCAGCATCACCACCATCATCATCAAGATCAGCATTATCATCATCATCATCATCAGCAGCATCATCATCATCCGAATCGTCCTAATCATAGTCATCCAAATGCCCCCTCCCTCACTTCAAAGCCTCATCGTTCTCGTCGTCGCCCTCGTCCCCCCTCCCCTCCACCTTGACCTCCTCGTCCCTCCCCGTTTCGCTTCTGCCTCCTCCTCCTCCTCGTCCTCCTCCTCTCCCTACCTCTGCTCCTCATCCACCTACTCCTTATCATTATATTCCTCCTCTCTTCCGTCGTACCTTTTTTCCCCCTCCTCATCCCCACCCTTCTACTTCTCCTCGTCCTCCTCCTTCTTCTCCTCATTTTTCTCCTTCTCCGTCTCTTTCTTCCTCTCCTCCTCCTCCATACCGTTTCCGTATGGATAAATCCTCCCTATCGCACCCCCAGACGTGTCGGTAGGGCGGGATTCCCTACTAGTAGTGATGATCCTGAACCTCGGAATCTGCAAGGGAGCAAGGCTGGAGGGCGGCTCGTTATCAAAATGTGGGTCTCGCTTCAGCGCCGCGCGCATTCGTCTTGCAAAATTGAATCCGCTTCGAGGATCGAGGGCTGGCCGTTTCATAAGTGTTGCTCTCGCCTTCAAGCCGCGCGCAGTCGCCTTCAAAGAGCGCAACAAACAGCTTCGAGGTTGGAGGGCGGGTCGTTTGCAAAATGTGGCTCTCGACTTCGTGCCACGCAGGTTCGCCGT